CACATCACAGTCCCCCTTTGCATCAGGAGACTTCTTTACATCAAACTCCCCCTTCAGATTAGGAGCCCACTTTTCACATCAGAACCCCCCTTTACATCAGAGTCCCTCCTTCACATTAGAGTCCTCAGTTCCTCCTTCACATCAGAGTCTTACCACCACATAGGGGAGGCCCCCTTACCATCAGAGTCCTCAGTTCCTGCTTCACATCAGATCACCACCACTTGCCATCACATCAGGAGCTGCAGCTGTGGTAGCATGGCATAGGGTGGAAGGTAAAGCAGGCCTGGATGGAGTGATCTTCATCCTTTTCTGAATGGATCTCAGACTTCATGGATTAGTGTCATTCTGAGGCACCCCTGTGGAAGCCAGAAGGCACCCCAGGGTGCCAGAGCACCATAGTCGGAAAAGACTGAAGTAGTCCATGGCATAGGCTAAGCAATGATACAAAACATACCAAGTAATGAGCACGAGTGACCATAACAAAAATGACTGTAAAAAAACAATGAACTAGAGAGAAACATATTGCAAAAACATATCTGTAGACTGAGTCCAGCCAGCTGTCAGCTTTTTCACCTTACACCCAGTGCTGAAGGAGGAAATGATAGCCGGTGGGGTTCAAAGTCTGTAGCCGGTAGAGACCGGTTGCTTCTTACTGATATGTGGATGACTGGCCTGTGTCATCCTGCGCGGGGCCAGATTCAGAGTTTCTAGGGGTTCTGTCACAGAAGGCATGTTAATGCGCTCCCTTTTTCTCCATTGCACACCAGCTACACCAAAGGTGGCTGTCTCTTCTACTAATGTGTCCATCTGGCCCTGATTTTGCTCTCTTTATACACCAGAGCCCTGGGGATTAGTTAGAGATGAAGACAAGGGCTTAGCTGTTTATTGTGGATAAAAAGGTTAACATTTACACATCAGTCACAGCTGTCTTTAGACTGGTTAGGCTGGATGTTTTGGGGAAAGATGGTGTGTTTTAATATGGCTGATGGTGCAAACAGTTATTATAATTTTGACATGGTTGGGGAATGGAAAATAGTTTATTTAAACGTATCAACATACATGAAGTACAACAAGCATAAATGGCAGGGAAACCCCAACTTGAGACCACCCTTACAAGTCTGCAGATATTTGCTGAATCCACAGGCTCCTGTTTATACATTGTAAGCATAAAAGGCAGGGGTATAGGAGGGAAATTGTTACCTCAAAAATGTAAAGTGTATCTAAACCCAAAAACAAACATGTGATGTAGTGCCGCTTAACAATCCTTAGCTGTGGTGGCCGCATTATTTTGCTCATTGGACTAGATGTACACATTCAGACATTAGCAGGTAGTACAGGGGCATCCCGAGGCCGGGTGTCACCCAGATCGGAGAACATGTGACACCCCGCCGTGACGTCATTGCGCATGTGTGGTCATCTTATTGACGCTTGCCGGTGGCCATCTTGGTGATGGACGCCGGCAGAGAGAGGAGGGGACGTTCACCTGGCAGGATGAGGTATGGCGTCAGGTGCCCTCCTCTCTCCTGACACTGTCGGGCTCTCGGTCAATGACAAGAGTGCCCGACTTTTCAGAGGGGGTGACACCAAAATGACTGGCCACACCCCCCTTGTGACGCCACTGCGGTAGTAATACAGGTTTCTAAACAAAGCCCTTGCTTTCAGTAAGACCATTGACAGGATTTGTATTTCTGCTATATTCCATTAGGCCTAATTCTTCTCCCCCCAATTTTTTTTTTTTTTTTTTGCAGGTATTTTATGGAACTTGTCTTCCAGCGATAACCTGAAATCAAGGCTGGCACGTGATACTCTAACTCCGCTGACAGATAGGGTGCTGGCTCCACTCTCTGGATCATCAGGATCTGCACTGATCCAACAGAATGCATCAGAGGCCGAGATATTTTACAATGCCACCGGCTTTCTCAGGTATGAATCAAAATGGTTTACTGGACTGTTCAGAGGCCACCAATTGGAACAAAGTGGATTATTTTTCACATCCATGTTATGTATTCTTCTATAGGAACCTGAGTTCTGCTAGTGAGGAGACCCGTCAGAAGATGCGAGACTGTCCTGGGATGGTGGACACCCTTGTTGGCTACATAAACCAAGTTCTGCAGGCTGGCAAATCTGAAGACAAGGTGAGGCGCTATCACCACACACTGGAAAGAGTCTTGTTTATAGCCAATAATGCACTTTTTAAATACACTTCAGCTCCTTTTAAAGTAGCTATAAACCCTAACTGAATGTTAGTGTATCAAAAGCAATTGCCATTTTATAAAATACTGCCCCCCCCCCCCCCTTTTTTTCCCTCCTTT